AAATCCTTCACAATTCAGACATGTTAAGGAACTGTAGTACTCGGCCTGTCTGTGCATCGCAGATGTCCAATACTTATTGATACTAGATTCGATGCTTAACTTCCACGCCGACTTCAGAATACCATTTTCGAGGATATCATGTGCGCTGGGTAGGTTGTATACTGCCAACAGATCGGAAATTTCAAAGAACCAGCTTGGATTGTTCGATGGTTGTAGAACCTGCTGGCGTCTAGCGATGTCCCGTTCAATAGAATCAGATGTAGCCACAGAGCCAAATAACCAAAGCATTCGTTTATAGATAACGGCTCTCAACGGAATTGTTCCAGTAAGGATATTGACACCCACGTCACCCACACTGTCTGGAACCGAGAGTATCTGCTTTAATATTTTCCTATAGCAAACTTTAAGTGATTCCATATCATTCAAAGATTGTGATAGGATTTCGAGTCCGTATTGCGAAGGTTGGTACAACGTAAGTGTTGATAATATGTAGGTTTGACGCTGGATCAAGACCATTTTTCCGTGCCAGCCCGTACCCATAAGGCTATATATCATGTTCCTCCCTTTTCTCAAGTTTGTTTTGGGGGGTTTGTGTTATGAGTTATACCAAGGTGGGTAGCCTCTTGCACAACAGGGACTTCGACAATGTCAATGGCCCAGGGGAACAGAATGTCATTCCTCATGCCTTTCAGGCTGGCAGGGAGTACGATACATTTCACAGGCTGCACTTCATATAGATGTTCCTTAATGTATGAATGAACGATGTTTAGCAAGGTCTGAAGTTCTGACTTGCAGTCATCGATAAGTGTGACGTCATCAGCACATGTTGGGGAGACACAAGGGGAAATCCCAACGTAGGAACCATGCCCGGAGTTGACAATCCTATCCAGCAGGTCGTGAATATATATCTTATAAAGGTCTGTGCTGAGAATTCCGCCTTGACGTACGCCTTGGTATATCATAATGGGATTGATGTGTTGTCCCTCCCACTTGTCTGCACCGATACGTTAAGATCGTGAATTATCTCCCATAGCTTGCCCCTGACACCATGTAAGAATAACTTTCTATCCAGGATATTGTGGTTAACTGAGTCAAAAGCCGCTTTAGAATCTAGGTGAGATATATACACGTTACTACAGGCTCGGTCATTGATGACTTCTCGTATTATTAATCCGCTGCTCAGCGGTGATGCTCCTTTGGTGAAACCTCGTTGTTGCCTATTCTGTGATGGCACGATCTAAGAGCAGTTTCCAGAACTTTTAGTACAGCAATACCTCTGTAGTGTTTCGCTTTCTTCTTGGATCCTTTCTTTTTAAATACAGGTGTGAGTTGACCTCTTTTCAGCATATCTGGAACTCTCCCCTCTGTTAGGAACAGGTTGAATAGGGTTGTCAGGACGCTGATAATACGTGGTTTCCCAAATTTGAGATGTTCAGCAGTGAGGTTTAAAATATCCGGCGACTTGTTTGTGTTGAGCTGTGTCAACGGTTGATGTTTAAATCCTCTGCTGTAACTGGTTGGCTTTGACAGTAATTGGATATTACATCGATGTCAAATTGGGCTTTAAGTCGGTCGGGTGTACAATCCTGAGCAGGTGTGACCCATTTTTGGAAGCTGAGTTTCCATCCCTCTAGGATATCAGATGGTGTACTACATTCCTTCCCATCAACTAGTAGACTCGGGAGTATGTTACCCTGCCCACTCTTCGTTAATTAGACGATATAATGTTTTAGTGTCCTCTTTTCTAGCTTTCATAAGATCATTCATGTATATATCCCATCTTGTAGCAATCTCAATTCCCCGTTGTTTACACACTTCTTTTTTGGCGTTACATCTCTTATCAGCAATGGGACCACTCGCAGGCTTTCCATGTTCCTTCCAATCATTCAAAGCCTGTTTGTTGTCTATCGTTGCTTTCGCAATATTGTCATTCCATACATGGTGTTTCCCACTCCTTACATGACTAGGCTTGGGAGTAACTACTGCCACAGGCTTGTCTATAAGGTCAATGATTTGTGTGGTAATCATACTAATTACCCCAATCTACATGTTTTAAGTTCGCATCGATAAGTTTGGAATACCTGGTTATGTCCACTTTCTTCCAGTTGTTTTTTTGTCGACTGTCCTTCTGCTGTTTCGATGGCTCCAACAAGGCCGCTGTGAAAAGTACAGATGGGTATATAGGGTAGTGATCTGATGTGTTTTCTGCGTCAAGATCCCTTCTAGTGACCTAAGATACGCCCTATTTCCAGACGTACGTTTCGTGGAAGAGGACGTAAACAATTGTGGACTTATCGTTTCCGTTGGGATGTTCAAAAGTATCCGCCGTTGGCATTATGACATATCCTGTAGAGTCCACGAAGCCATCGAGTTTAGTTCGCCTAACCGACGCAGATCGGTATTCCAATCGCCCCCTATGATTATGTCATGCGTAGTGTTATATTGCCTAGTAATTTCCTCCAAAATTCCTAGGTACTCCTCATACTCCCCAAGGTCACATTAACGTTCTTCTCGTTAGGCTCAGATATAAAAAAGGACTGTGACTTTGCTGGGTATGATGAATGTCCAACATCGGTATTAGTAGTTGCATGATCATGTACCAGTTGCTCCTGTATATCACTTCCGTTGCCTGGTTCATTTCCCGCTAGCCTGGCTTCACACTGTTCCAATGATTTCTGTCTCATGTTCTCTTTAGCATCTACGGGTATATCATTTTGTCCCATTTGCTTTACATTGCCCGTTGACGTAATATCGTTGTGAGGACTGTTGCTTTGCCCGAATTGATGACGATAAGTACTCGTACGCGGTCCTTTCGACTGCGGCCTTTGCTGAACAATCAGCCCCCTTGTAGGTAATGTGCACTTTACGCTGGCAGTAGGGATGGCGGTGGAAAGCTGGACCCCAAGTATGGTGGGTACGGGTAGGGTGGTGGGTAAGGTGGGGGTAAGGACGGGGACTGCGGTACCGAGGTATGTTGTTTAATTGATGGATTCTCAAGCCTCTGCAGCCTGTTAGATATGTCCTCCATTTCCAGCTGATGAGTTCTCCTGGACGCGCTTTTGCGCTCCTCTAGTCCCGATAGCTGTTCCAGAATATGTTCGATAGTCAGATCTGAGATTGACTCGGACATGTCATACAGATTGTGAGATCGTTCAGGGTTTGTAGACCTTGTGTGTTGTTAACTCGGGTCTGCAGTAGACGATTTAGCTTCCATCTTCATTCTTATAATTTTATTTGACTTTTTCAACTCCTTGACTTTTTCTTTTAGAGTTATTACATGTACTTGCAACCTTGCGCTTTTCTATTGCTCTTCATTTAGAGTGGCACGCTCTTTCTTAAGACTGTCTTCCCACTTTCGGTTTGTCTTAATTGCTTGTTGTCCATTGATTGTCTCATTACCTCTGCGCTCGTGTCTGGATTCGGTGACGATAGATCGACAGGACCTTTACGCAGTATTCCTTTTGGACGCCCACGTTTACCAGGTCGTTCCAGAAGGGTATCGCCTGTTCGATCAGGCAATGTCAAAGAGTGAGAAGAGAGAATTTCACAAACATTATGCGTAGTGTCAATCTGATATATGGTTGTGTTATTTGAAAACTTGGGTGTAGTATCCAATTGTTCTAGGGAAATATCACGCGCGTTGTCTGGCGTTGTCCGATTGTTCTAGAGGAATATCTCGCACATTGCTAGGTGTAATATCAGACAACGGGTATATAACTGCAGACGTTCGGGGTAGTACGAGTCTCCTTTGATTTATTGTTCTGCATGGTAGCCTTGATCGTTTTTGGTTGTTTATAACATCAGTTGTAACTGATTGTCAAGCCCGTTTGTAACATTTGGCGCTGGCGTTGAGACGTTAGCTTGACCAACAGAGACGTATGATTTGTCGGAGTTTGTACCAGGAACAGTGGATAGTAAGGGATGCACTGTGATGCTGATGTTTGGCGAGTGGGGCGGCAGCCCTACACAGATATTGGGAATGTCAGATGCAATGGGTAACATGGATGTATCATCGTGGTTACCGGATGACACATCAGTGTTATTTATATTTACCAATACTCAAGAACTAGGATAGTTTTATTCGATAGTATTCATAGGCGGCACTCGAGAATGTCATAACGATTCCATTTCCGTTAGTGACTTGTTTAATACTACAGTTATTCTCCCATTTTGTAGCTCCTATTTTCTTTTTAAGTGCCCTCTTTTTATTAGCAGTAAATACAGCCTTTTGAATCAGTTGCTTACTTCAGTCAACAGAGTTTGTTTTGGATGGTGTGTCGTAGTTTGGATGTGCTCCTCACATGGTGCTGCAGTCATCCTGTATTTCAATCAAATGAGACCGTCCTCGAGGATGAATTTACCCGCAGTTTTAATAATATAATTGCGACAATAACAGTTCTTTTTTTGGCTTGGCCTTTTATTTCAATTCTGACGCAACAATCCCCCACATTTTGTATATTGGCATCATTTGTTTGTGTTTAAATACTAAATAAAATTACTAGTGCCAATTGGACGGTAAACTAATTCATAGATATCATTTTAAATGATGTCTTATCTACACAGCGTAGCTGTACTGTACACATGTACAGGGATTTGTTGACATGATTCCATAACAGATATATCAATAGGTATGTTATTAAAATATGAATAAAATGTACCATTGATTTAAAAAATAAATACAATAATAATAATAAAATAAAAATCCAGCCATTCTATCTGGAGAGAGAAAAGGGAGTATTAGACGAAGTTCCAACCCGTTTTTGTCGGACACTTGGACCTGCAAGTTGTGTCAGAAGACGGACAGTGGAGACCCAAACGCTAAAATGCTGGAATGTGAACGCTGCAAAGACCGTTTCTGTATCGCGTGCCTGCAGAAAGAAGTCACGGAATATGATTTTCTAAACAAAACGGATTCGATGTGGTTTTGCGCGCCATGCAATGTGGCAGTAAGAAAAAACCTTCATACCGAAACCATAGTGGAAAACAAATGTGCTGAGATAATGGCAGCATACGAGGAAAGAATTACCAAGCTTGAACTCGTTATAAAGTGGAAGTGTGGAACTGATGAGGTGAGGAAGATAATTCAAGAAGAACTGGCAAACTCTGTAAGTTCATCCAAGGATACCCATACTAGTATCAATGATGCTACATCTACTATATTATCGGAGCTTAACGATAAAAAACGCAGAGAAAACAATATAATCATTTTCGGGGTTGACGAAAAAGAGGATAACGGGGACGCAAAACATGCGGATTTGGAGATAGTTACAAAGATGCTTAAAACCTGCAAAGTCTCGGCTGAGGGATTGAATGACATTCCCAAGATTACCAGACTAGGCAGAAAACAACAGGAGAAAACCCGACCCATCCTAGTCAGCTTCGGTAGCATTGCTTATAAATCTGTGTTTTTCAAAAATATTCGGAATCTTCAAACCAATGATGATTACAAATCCATTCGGATTAATAATGATCTGACCAAATCAGAAAGAGAAGGAGAGGCAGCACTAAGGGGAGAAGCGAAAAAGAGAAACGAGAAGGAAACCGGGGGTTTTGTCCACAGGGTAAAAGGCCCCCCATGGAACAGAAAAATCGTGAAAATCAAAACGAAAATTCGGGAAGATTAAACGATAACTTGAGCTGCTTTTACACTAATGCTGACAGTCTTTTAAACAAATTAGATGAGTTAAAACTAAGGATTCAACAGAAAGAGAGGGGTATAGACGCGATAGGTATAACTGAAATCTACCCGAAAAATTATAGATTTTTACCAAGTAAAGCAGAGCTAAACATTCCGGGATATGATTTTTTTATAAACGAAAACGACCCCAATCGACACCGTGGAATAGGTATTTACATCAAGGAAGGCCTTAAACCCGTGGAAGTGAACATTACAACCAGCTTTAAAGAGAGCATCTGGGTAAAATTAACATCGCCGGATAAGGAGAAAGTGTTGATTGGCTGTGTCTATAGAAGTCCGAACTCTGATAAGGATAACAACGATGAGCTACATAAACTAATAACTAAAGTTTCTACAGATAAAGAGTTTTCACAGCTGTTAATATTAGGGGATTTCAACTTCCCAAGTATAGACTGGAACACATGGATATCAAGGGGAGATAGACAAGGTGAAAACTTTATAGAACTTTTAAGAGACAACTTTCTTTATCAACATTCCACTGAATGCACTCGCATCCGAGTGGGGAACGAAGCAAATATCCTTGATTTAATATTAACTAATGCGGAAGAGACAGTGAATGCTATTAATTACGATAGTCCTATAGGCAACAGTGATCATCTTCTTATATATTTTGAATACGCGTTCCGCAAAACGGTATCCAACAATTTTCAAACAGGATATAATTTCCGTAAAGGAGACTATACCAACATGAAGAAGGAACTACGGGAGGTGGAATGGACAGAAACTTTGTCTAACCTGGATACTGAAGAAGCGTACAACAAATTTCTCCGTATATTCCATAATACTGCGGACAAATATATCCCAAAAAAGAAGAACACAACTGCAAACAGCAAAAACGGCCTAGCGTTGAACAGGGATCTTAGGAATAAAATCAATAAAAAACATCGGGCTTGGACGAGGTTTATGGAAACAAAAACACAAGATAGGTATAAGGAGTATGCCAAACTCAGAAACCAAGTCAAATGGGAACTCCGGAAGGCAAAAAGGGAGATGGAAAAGGAAATTGCACTTAATGCGAAGCACCAGCCTAAACGATTCTAGAAATATCTAAATGCTAAGAGAAAAGTGAGATCGGGAATTTCGGACCTAAAAGGATTGAACGGAAACCCTACAGGAATATCAACTAGTGATTCGGAGAAGGCAGAAGTATTGGTTAATTTCTTCACGAGTGTATTTACTAAAGAACTACCGGGGGAGCTACCTCCGTTCCTAGCCAGACCAGCTGTCAGTCACTTATTTCAAGACACGTCAATCAATGGAGATGTAATCAAAAAACTACTTTTCAATTTAGATGCTAACAAATCACCAGGACCCGATGGGATGCATCCGAAAGCTTTAAAGGAACTTCGCGATGTTTTGTGTATACCAATTTCGTTAATCTTCAATAAATCAGTTTGGATTTCTCCCCGGAAGATCAACAACACTTCAAATGTTAATCGTCCTAGATGAGTGGACTCATATGTTGGATACGGGAGGAGAAATTGATGTCATTTATATGGATTTTATGAAAGCTTTCGACAAGGTACCCAATCGCCGTCTAATACACAAGCTATATAATTATGGAATCAGCGCGAAAACTGTTAAATGGATAGAAAACTTTTTAAGCGATAGACATCAAAAAGTAGTGGTTAACGGATCTACATCCAAATTACAGAACGTCTTAAGCGGAATTCCTCAGGGGAGTGTTTTAGGACCAATACTATTTGTTATGTATATCAATGACATGCCCGAGAACACTGCGTCATCGTGCTCTTTATTCGCGGATGATACTAAATGATTCCGCAAGATACGAACTGATGAGGATAAGGAAATTCTACAAGCAGATTTGAATATTCTTCAAAAATGGTTTGATGATTGGCTTCTGAAATTTCATCCGAATACATGCAAGGTTCTTCAGGTTAAAGGATCACCAAACAATAATAGAACATACCGTCTCGCCAGCAAAACTGGAGAAGTCGTACTTGACAAAATCAACAGTGAAAAAGATTTAGGAGTAACGGTGGTTGCAAACCTGAACTTTCGGACCCACATTCAAAACTCAATAAATAAAGCTAATTCAGTACTCGGGATTATTAGAAGATCATTTACTTTTTTGGACGAATCGATTTTTAGACAGTTATTCAAGGCTCTGGTAAGACCGCATCTAGAATACGCAGCCAGTGCGTGGAGTCCGTATAAACTTAAAGATATCCAGATGATAGAGAATGTACAACGGAGAGCCATTAAGCTTCTACCTGGATTTAAAGAAATCTCCTACGAAGAACGTTTAGAAAAATTAAAACTACCGACACTAAAACACCGAAGGACTAGAGGTGATTTGATTAACGTTTTCAAGATTGTGAAGAGGAAGTTTGATGAGAAAGTCACGTCAGACATATTTGTCTACGATAATAACGAAAGAACACGCGAACATAAATTTAAGCTGTATAAACAACGATGTAGTACAGAGCTAAGGAAAAACTCGTTCACGTTTAGGGTAGTTGATATCTGGAACTGTCTACCGGAATCGGTTGTAAATGCAGAAACCACGAAGGACTTTGAGATCCTGTTGGATAACCATCTGAAGGACACTATTTACAATAATTACTGATAATGACTTTTAAAATAACTCTTTTGGGAAAGTTTATATATATTAACCAGTGACAATATAATATTTTAGTACTATGTTTTGTGATATGGACATAGAGGCTTTCAGCCTGCGTCCATTATTTTTCTCAGCCTGCGTCCATTATTTTTCAATTAAATTCAATTAAATAAAATAACATTCAGTTAACATTACTATACCAAACCTATACATAACCTAGGGACATTAACATTCAGTTAACATTACTATACCAAACCTATACATAACCTAGGGACATTAACATTCAGTTAACATTACTATACCAAACCTATACATAACCTAGGGACATTAACATTCAGTTAACATTACTATACCAAACCTATACATAACCTAGGGACATTAACATTCAGTTAACATTACTATACCAAACCTATACATAACCTAGGGACATTAACATTCAGTTAACATTACTATACCAAACCTATACATAACCTAGGGACATTAACATTCAGTTAACATTACTATACCAAACCTATACATAACCTAGGGACATTAACATTCAGTTAACATTACTATACCAAACCTATACATAACCTAGGGACATTAACATTCAGTTAACATTACTATACCAAACCTATACATAACCTAGGGACATTAACATTCAGTTAACATTACTATACCAAACCTATACATAACCTAGGGACATTAACATTCAGTTAACATTACTATACCAAACCTATACATAACCTAGGGACATTAACATTCAGTTAACATTACTATACCAAACCTATACATAACCTAGGGACATTAACATTCAGTTAACATTACTATACCAAACCTATACATAACCTAGGGACATTAACATTCAGTTAACATTACTATACCAAACCTATACATAACCTAGGGACATTAACATTCAGTTAACATTACTATACCAAACCTATACATAACCTAGGGACATTAACATTCAGTTAACATTACTATACCAAACCTATACATAACCTAGGGACATTAACATTCAGTTAACATTACTATACCAAACCTATACATAACCTAGGGACATTAACATTCAGTTAACATTACTATACCAAACCTATACATAACCTAGGGACATTAACATTCAGTTAACATTACTATACCAAACCTATACATAACCTAGGGACATTAACATTCAGTTAACATTACTATACCAAACCTATACATAACCTAGGGACATTAACATTCAGTTAACATTACTATACCAAACCTATACATAACCTAGGGACATTAACATTCAGTTAACATTACTATACCAAACCTATACATAACCTAGGGACATTAACATTCAGTTAACATTACTATACCAAACCTATACATAACCTAGGGACATTAACATTCAGTTAACATTACTATACCAAACCTATACATAACCTAGGGACATTAACATTCAGTTAACATTACTATACCAAACCTATACATAACCTAGGGACATTAACATTCAGTTAACATTACTATACCAAACCTATACATAACCTAGGGACATTAACATTCAGTTAACATTACTATACCAAACCTATACATAACCTAGGGACATTAACATTCAGTTAACATTACTATACCAAACCTATACATAACCTAGGGACATTAACATTCAGTTAACATTACTATACCAAACCTATACATAACCTAGGGACATTAACATTCAGTTAACATTACTATACCAAACCTATACATAACCTAGGGACATTAACATTCAGTTAACATTACTATACCAAACCTATACATAACCTCGGGACATTAACATTCAGTTAACATTACTAAGCCAGTTTGGCAATTGTGTTAACTTCAGATAACATACAGGGCTTTAAAATTGTTTCGATCGTTTGGATGTCGACCATTTCGTCACAGCCCTAAACAGTATATTCCAGAGGTGGCTTCGCCTGGGTCTGACATACGTTTTGGTCTCTATCACAGATGATCAGGTAGAATTCACCTCGGTGAAAATCTAATTTACATTCAGTTAACATTTAATGTTAAACTGGATATTCAGACCTAAGTATTTTACGTCATCTATAATAAGGTGTAACGGAAACCTATGCAAATAATATGGAAATTTTATTGAGTGTTTATTTCTTGTTGACATCATTCTTCCTGCACACAAGGTATCTTCGGGTAGCGTATCCCAGTAAATTACAGTTAAAAAACGAGCAATGTTTACTTGAAGTCTGTCCGGGAATGTATTGGTTGGAAACTAATTGAATTTTAAACAACTTGTGTACCAATGATGTAATATGATGTTACACAACCGCAGATTTGTCTGGCTTTCCTTGACCGACTTCTACAAGTAGAAGCGAAGCAATCATAGCCGGTACCAGCTCCTCGATCATTATAAAAAAGGTAAATTTGGGTGTCATTTGTTCTCTTTTGGAATGTCCTTATTAAGATTTCAACATTCGGGTATTTTTTAAAAACTTGGCTTTGCGTGCACAAGTCAGCAGGGTGTGCATTTAGTACATGTAACAAGTTAATACTTGAAACTTTAAACAGACAACACGCTAACTGAGGTCATAATTGGCCTTTGTAAATTGGTTTGTGTCAATTATATTGTCGCTCCATTGTAGCGGACTGGACGCATTGCTAGCTTGTAGGCACGATACAACAATCTAGGGGGTCAGTATATATGTTACTGAGGCTGGAAATCTTCCCGAGTCTCACCTCTCAGCGCACCACTACCAGCTGGCACGCATCGGGGCGCTGTACAGGGTGTTGGATCATGTCCAAGGGAAGGGTAGCAAGTTGACGTGTCTCCATTTTTTCTGTTACACCATGGTAGCCATGTGTTTAATGAGACGTTAACACAATGTGCCATGCTACCTGTATAAAGGAGGAAGTTGTTTGTTACAGACCAGCCATTGGTGTATAGGTTTTGGCACATCTGGAGTATAAAATGACGGTACGCGGACGATACTGAAAGGTAGGAGGAAAGTCTCAAGATTTTCAAATAACGGATTTCCGTCGGTTGATTAATAGGAAATAATTAAGCCAAAATACTACTAATATTGTTAGAGGTTGTTGACAGTCACGTGTATAATTCTGTGGTTTGTCTTGTGTACTTTTAAAAGTCCATGTTTCTATGTTACAACAAACAATCAATTAATTTAATTGGCAGTTGAAATAGTAAAGTGTAACATACCAACCAACAATTAAGGCATCTATGTGCAGGTACATGAAAGTGCAAGAAAAATTCTTGCTTGGTAATATTTTTGAGTGTTATCGCAATTGGGTGTGGGGCATGGTAAGGCAGTAATGTTGTAGCTGTACTTGAAACAGTGTAGGTGTCAGTACACTTATAACAGTGTAGGTGTCAGTACACTTATAACAGTGTAGCTGTCGGTAGACTTGTAATAGTTTAGTTGTTATTAAACTTATAACAGTGTAGTTGTCAATACACTTTTAACAATGAAGTTGTTAGTATACTTATAGTAGTGTAGTTGTCAGTATACTTGTAATAGTTAAATTGTCAGTACACTTATAACTGTGTAGCTGTCAGTAAACTTGCAATATTTTAGTTGTCAGTACACTTGTAGTAGTTTAGTTGTCAATACACTTTTAACAGTGCAGTTGTCAGTACACTTATAACAGTGTAGTTGTCAGTACACTTATAAAAATGAAGCTGTCAGTACACTTGTAATAGTTAAGTTGTAAGTACACTTCTAACAGTGAAGTTGTCAGTAAACTTGCAATATTTTAGTTGTTAGTACACTTATACTGGTGTAGTTGTCAGTATACTTGTAACATTGTAGTTGTCAGTACACTTATAACAGTGTAGCTGTCGGTGAACTTGTCATAGTTTAGTAGTTATTAAACTTATAACAGTGTAGTTGTCAATACACTTTTAACAATGAAGTTGTTAGTATACTTATAATAGTGTAGTTGTCAGTACACTTATAACAGTGCAGTTGTAAGTACACTTATAATAATTTAGTTGTCAGTACACTTATAACTGTGAAGCTGTCAGTAAACTTGAAATATTTTAGTTGTCAGTACACTTATAACAGTGTAGTTGTCAATACACTTTTTAACATTGAAATTGTTAGTATACTTATAATGGTGTAGTTGTCAGTACACTTATAACAGTGTAGTTGTAAGTACACTTATAATAATTTAGTTGTCAGTATACTTGTAATAGTTAAGTTGTCAGTACACTTATAACTGTGAAGCTGTCAGTAAACTTGAAATATTTTAGTTGTCAGTACACTTATAACAGTGTAGTTGTCAGTATACTTGTAACATTGCAGTTGTCAATACATTTATAACAGTGTAGTTGTCAGTATAATTGTAATAGTTTAGTTGTCAGTACACTTATAACAGTGGAGCTGTCAGTAGACTTGTAATAGGTTAGTTGTTATTACACTTATAAAATTGTAGTTGTCAATACACTTTTAACATTGATATTGTTAATATACTTTTAACAGTGTAGTTGTCAGTATACTTGTAACATTGTAGTTGTCAATACACTTATAACAGTGTAGTTGTCAATACATTTATAACAGTGTAGTTGTCAGTATACTTATAATAGTTAAGTTGTCAGGACACTCATAACAGTGTAGTTGTCAGTATACTTGTAACATTGTAGTTGTCAACACACTTATAACAGTGTAGTTGTCAATACATTTATAACAGTGGAGCTGTCAGTAGACTTGTAATAGTTTAGTTGTCAGTATTCTTGTATTAGTTTAGTTGTCACTACACTTATAACAGTGTAGTTGTTAGTACACTTATAACAGTGTAGTTGTCAGTATTTTTGTATTAGTTTAGTTGTCACTACACCTATGACAGTGTAGTTGTCAGTATACTTGTAATAGTTTAGCCGTTATTACACTTATAACATTGTAGTTGTCAATACATTTATAACAGTGTAGCTGTCAGTACACTTATAACTGTGTACCTGTCAATAAACTTGCAATATTTTAGTTGTCAGTACACTTATAACAGTGTAGTTGTCAGTATACTTGTAATAGTTTAGTTGTTAGTTCACTTATAAGAGTGTAGTTGTTAGTACACTTACAATAGTTTAGTTGTCAGTACACTTATAACAGTGGAGCTGTCAGTAGACTTGTAATAATTTAGTTGTCAGTACACTTATAAAAGTGTAGCTGTCAGTAGACTTGTACTATTTTAGTTGTCAGTACACTTATAACAGTGCTGTTGTCAGTACACTTATAACAGTGTTGTTGTCAGTACATTTATAACAGTGTTGTTGTCAGTACACTTATAACACTGTTGTTGTCAGTACACTTATAACACTGTTGTTGTCAGTACACTTATAACACTGTTGTTGTCAGTACACTTATAACACTGTTGTTGTCAGTACACTTATAACACTGTTGTTGTCAGTACACTTATAACACTGTTGTTGTCAGTACACTTATAACACTGTTGTTGTCAGTACACTTATAACACTGTTGTTGTCAGTACACTTATAACACTGTTGTTGTCAGTACACTTATAACACTGTTGTTGTCAGTACACTTATAACACTGTTGTTGTCAGTACACTTATAACACTGTTGTTGTCAGTACACTTATAACACTGTTGTTGTCAGTACACTTATAACACTGTTGTTGTCAGTATACTTGTGATAGTTTAGTTGTCAGTACACTTATAACAGTGTTGTTGTCAGTTCACTTGTAACAGTGTAGTTGTCAGTACACTTGTAACAGTGTAGGTGTCAGTACACTTATAACACTGTTGTTGTCAGTACACTTGTAACAGTGTAGTTGTCAGTACACTTGTAACAGTGTAGTTGTAACTGTATTGCCATTACACTTATAACAGTGTATATGTCAGTACACTTATAACAGTGTTGTTGTCAGTTCACTTGTAACAGTGTAGTTGTCAGTACACTTGTAACAGTGTAGGTGTCAGTACACTTATAACACTGTTGTTGTCAGTACACTTGTAACAGTGAAGTTGTCAGTACACTTGTAACAGTGCAGTTGTCAGTACACTTATAACAGTGTTGTTGTCAGTACTTTTGTAATAGTTTAGTTGTGAGTACATTTATAACAGTGTTGTTGTCAGTACACTTATAACAGTGTAGGTGTCAGTACACTTATAACAGCGTTGTTGTCAGTACACTTGTAACAGTGTAGTTCTCAGTATACTTGTAATAATTTAGTTGTCAGTACACTTATAACAGTGTTGTTGTCAGTACACTTATAACAGTGTAGTTGTCTGTATACTTGTAATAGTTCAGTTGTCAGTACACTTATAACTGTGTAGTTGTCAGAATGCCTGTAATAGTTCAGATGTCAGTACACTTATAACAGTGGAGCTGTCAGTAGACTTGTAATAGGTTAGTTGTTATTACACTTATAAAATTGTAGTTGTCAATACACTTTTAACATTGATATTGTTAATATACTTTTAACAGTGTAGTTGTCAGTATATTTGTAACATTGTAGTTGTCAATACACTTATAACAGTGTAGCTGTCAATACATTTATAACAGTGTAGTTGTCAGTATACTTATAATAGTTTAGTTGTCAGTACACTCATAACTGTGTAGTATTGTAGTTGTCAATACACTTATAACAGTGTAGCTGTCAATACATTTATAACAGTGAAGTTTTCAGTATACTTATAATAGTTTAGTTGTCAGTACACTCATAACTGTGTAGTTGTCAGTAGTTGTAACTGTATTGCCATTACACTTATACACTTTTAACAATGAAGTTGTTAGTATGTATTAGTTTAGTTGTCACTACACTTATAACAGTGTAGTAGTTAGTACACTTATAACAGTGTAGTTGTCAGAAGACTTGTAATAGTTTTGTTGTCAGTTCACTTGTAACTGTGTAGTTGTCAGTATATTTATAATAGTTTAGTTGTCAGTACACTCATAACTGTGAAGTTGTCAGTATACTTGTAATAGTTTAGTGGTCAGTACACTTATAACAGTGGAGCTGTCAGTAGACTTGTAATAGGTTAGTTGTTATTACACTTATAAAATTGTAGTTGTGTATACTTATAATAGTGTAGTTGTCAGTACACTTATAAAAATGAAGCTTTCAGTACACTTGTAATAGTTAAGTTGTGAGTACACTTATAACAGTGTAGTTGTCAGAAGACTTGTAATAGTTTTGTTGTCAGTTCACTTGTAACTGTGTAGTTGTCAGTAGACTTGTAATAGTTTAGTTGTCAGTACACTCATAACTGTGAAGTTGTCAGTATACTTGTAATAGTTTAGTGGTCAGTACACTTATAACAGTGGAGCTGTCAGTAGACTTGTAATAGGTTAGTTGTTATTACACTTATAAAATTGTAGTTGTCAATACACTTTTAACATTGAAATTGTTAGTATACTTATAATGGTGTAGTTGTCAGTACACTTATAACAGTGTAGTTGTCTGTATACTTGTAATAGTTAAGTTGTCAATACATTTATAACTGTGTAGCTGTCAGTAGACTTGTAATAGTTAAGTTGTCAGTATACTTATAACAGTGTAGTTGTCTGTATACTTGTAATAGTTCAGTTGTCAGTACACTTATAACTGTGTAGTTGTCAGAATGCCTGTAATAGTTCAGATGTCAGTACACTTATAACAGTGGAGCTGTCAGTATAATTGTAATAGTTTAGTTGTCAGTACACTTATGACTGAGTAGTTGTCTGTATACTTGTAATAGTTTAGTTGTCAGTACACTTATAACAGTGTAGTTGTCAGAAGACTTGTAATAGTTTTGTTGTCAGTTCACTTGTAACTGTGTAGTTGTCAGTATATTTATAATAGTTTAGTTGTCAGTACACTTATACTGGTGTAGTTGTCAGTATACTTGTAACATTGTAGTTATCAGTACACTTATAACAGTGTAGCTGTCGGTAGACTTGTAATAGTTTAGTTGTCAGTACACTTATAACAGTGTAGTTGTCAATACACTTTTAACAATGAAGTTGTTATTATACTTATAATAGTGTAGTTGTCAGTACACTTATAACAGTGTAGTTGTTAGTACACTTATAATAGTTTAGTTGTCAGTATACTTGTAATAGTTAAGTTGTCAGTACACTTATAACTGTGTAGCTGTCAGTAAACTTGCAATATTTTATTGTCAGTACACTTATAACAGTGTAGTTGTCAATACACTTTTAACATTGAAATTGTTAGTATACTTATAATGGTGTAGTTGTCAGTACACTTATAACAGTGTATATGTCAGTATAATTGTAATAGTTTAGTTGTCAGTACACTTATAAGAGTGGAGCTGTCAGTAGACTTGTAATAGGTTAGTTGTTATTACACTTATAAAATTGTAGTTGTCAATACACTTTTAACATTGAAATTGTTAATATACTTTTAATGGTGTAGTTGTCAGTACACTTATAGCAGTGTAGTTGTTAGTATACTTGTAACATTGTAGTTGTCAATACACTTATAACACTGTAGTTGTCAATACATTTATAACAGTGTAGTTTTCAGTATACTTATAATAGTTTAGTTGTCAGTACACTCATAACTGTGTAGTTGTCAGTATACTTGTAATAGTTTAGTTGTAAATACACTTTTACCATTGAAATTGTTAATATACTTTTAATGGTGTAGTTGTCAGTACACTTATAACAGTGTAGTTGTCAGTATACTTGTAACATTGTAGTTGTCAATACACTTATAACAGTGTAGTTGTCAATACATTTATAACAGTGTAGTTTTCAGTATACTTATAATAGTTTAGTTGTCAGTACACTCATAACTGTGTAGTTGTCAGTATAATAGTTTAGTTGTCAGTACACTCATAACTGTGTAGTTGTCAGTATACTTGTAATAGTTTAGTTGTCAGTACACTCATAACTGTGTAGTTGTCAGTAGACTTGTAATAGTTTAGTTGTCAGTACACTTATAACTGTGTAGTTTTCAGTATACTTGTAATAGTTTAGTTGTCAGTACACTCATAACTGTGTAGTTGTCAGTAGACTTGTAATAGTTTAGTTGTCAGTACACTTATAACAGTGGAGCTGTCAGTATACTTGTAATAGTTTAGTTGTCAGTACACTCATAACAGTGGAGCTGTCAGTAGACTTGTAATAGTTAAGTTGTCAGTATACTTATAACAGTGTATTTGTCAGAATACCTGTAATAGTTAAGTTGTCAGTATACTTATAACAGTGGAGCTGTCAGTATACTTGTAATAGTTTAGTTGTCAGTACACTTATAACAGTGGAGCTGTCAGTAGACTTGTAATAGTTTAGGTGTCAATACACTTATAACAGTGGAGCTGTCAGAAGACTTATAATAGTTTAGTTGTCACTACACTTATAACAGTGTAGTTGTTAGTACACTTATAACAGTGGAGCTGTCAGAAGACTTGTAATAGTTTTGTTGTCAGTTCACTTGTAACTGTGTAGTTGTCAGTAGACTTGTAATAGTTTAGTTGTCAGTACACTTATAACAGTGGAGCTGTCAGTAGACTTATAATAGTTTAGTTGTCACTACACTTATAACAGTGTAGTTGTCAGTACACTTATAACAGTGGAACTGTCAGTATAATTGCAATAGTTTAGTTGTAAGTATTCTTGTATTAGTTTAGTTGTCACTACACTTATAACAGTGTAGTTGTTAGTACACTTATAACAGTGTAGTTGTCAGTATTTTTGTATTAGTTTAGTTGTCACTACACCTATGACAGTGTAGTTGTCAATATACTTGTAATAGTTTAGCTGTTATTACGCTTATAACATTGTAGTTGTCAGTACATTTATAACAGTGTTGTTGTCAGTACACTCATAACACTGTTGTTGTCAGTACACTTATAACACTGTTGTTGTCAGTACACTTATAACACTGTTGTTGTCAGTACATATATAACACTGTTGTTGTCAGTATACTTGTAATAGTTTAGTTGTCAGTATACTTATAACAGTGTTGTTGTCAGTAAACTTATAACAGTGTTGTTGTCAGTACACTTATAACACTGTTGTTGTCAGTACATTTATAACACTGTTGTTGTCAGTTCACTTATAACACTGTTGTTGTCAGTATACTTGTAATAGTTTAGTTGTCAGTACACTTATAACAGTGTTGTTGTCAGTACACTTATAACAGTGTAGGTGTCAGTACACTTATAACAGTGTTGTTGCCAGTACACTTGTAACAGTGTAGTTGTCAGTATACTTGTAATAGTTTAGTTGTCAGTACACTTATAACAGTGTTGTTGTCAGTACACTTATAACAGTGTAGGTGTCAGTACACTTATAACACTGCTGTTGTCAGTACACTTGTAACACTGTTGTTGTCAGTACACTTGTAACAGTGTTGTTGTCAGTACACTTGTAACAGTGTAGGTGTCAGTACACTTGTAACACTGTTGTTGTCAGTACACTTCGCTGTTTACAAAATGGCAAAACGTTTCGCTTCGCATACTGATGAGGAAATACTCGCCAAAAGAGCTAGCTATGTGCCACAAAACTTACAAAAGTCGAACAGACTAGCGGCAAACATGCTTAGGAAAAGAAAAAAAATCAGGAAGAACAGTTCGAGGAATTTGATAAAACGAAACTAAATGAGATACTGTGCCATTTTTATCTTGATAACAGAAAAGTTGACGGGGAACTGTACAAAACCGATATAAAAGATTCAAAGGGGTAATGAATTCGTTACACGGATTTTTGGCAGGGTATACGGGATGGTATGACCCTACAGGATTTCGTATTTCCTTCGGCCGATACCTGCCAAAAATCCGTGTAACTAATAATAACGGCGGTATCTTATGATCATGAACTACTAGGAATTCGTAAACACAGGAGTGAGAAAGGGTTAGGGCTAGGGTTAGGGTTAGGCAAATAGACGGAGTAAGAGTAAACTACCAGGCCGAGCAATACGACTATCCAACAAACTCAAACACACTTTATTATTATTGTAGGATGACAATGCAAGATCTTCAGTCAGACGTAGCGAGGTTCTCTCTACACCAGTGATATCATTCTGTGGGCGCTGTCAATCAACCATGACAGTATTAAACACAAGTCCGGCATTGAAGGGCCGCTTGACTGGTCTAGCCCATGCGCTGTTTGTCTGTTTCACACTTATTCGGGTATGTATGCACGTCCGTTGTCTTTTGTATTTGTTTCCACGTTTTTACTTGACTGTGTGTATCAGTGTCTGTGATTGGTTGTAAATATAGAGGTTACACAACGAGTGGTTGTTCGATATGGTATTTATTTTACTCGAGTTAGTTAATTTTCAAAAGTTACAAAAGACATGAGCTTTAGCGAGTGTCTTTCTGTAACTTTTGAAAATTAACTAACGAGAGTGAAATAAATACCATACTCAACAACCACGAGTCGTGTGATCTGTTTCTTCCACAATCTCAGTCGGAATCAGCTGGAGTATTTCCTGATTTGAATAGCATACACACATTTTGTTGACAAGGCTGGCGTAGTGATATGACCCATATGTAAAAAGTCACTCATTAATATTCAAAAATGACTTTGGTTTTTACAAATTAATAATTTTCAAAATTAATGTTTCGGCAACAACTTCGTGAAAAAATAAAATAGATGAACGACTTTAAATATTGAGAGTATGTAATGTTGCATTAATTAATATAAATTAGCCACGGACTATATGCGCGTAAGCATATCGTACGAAGTCTGCCTCCCGCCAAGTAATGAAGACGAACTAATCGTTGTCAATGTCCAAAACTATAGGCCTGGGACGTTTCCTCGTGAGATTCTATGGTTGACGTTTATAGTGAGAGGTCCGCCCTCCAAATATTGATAACGGGACATGGGGAGAACGAAATATTTTCCGACACTGTTACAGATCTTGTTTGGGTTTCAAAGAGACATATATATTACGTCTCTGGGTTTCAAGACCTGGACATGCGACGGTATTGCATCGAAACGATATCGAGCGTCTGTAGCAATTTTGCCTGAAACTAGCGATCAAATCTTTAAGCATCATCTTCTTTTGGTATTGCCTTAATAATCCCCTTTTCCCATCGCATAACCTCACAAAAGTCACCAACATTTGCCGGATGTTGACAGCAGACGACGTAAACAAACCAGCGATACAGGCCATCTGGGCCTCTTGTTTAAGTTGTTTCACGGTGGCATAGATAAAAACCGATTTAACTTTTTAAATGGACCAACACCGCTATTTGTTAACAAATTGTAACGTTGGTATGAAGGATATAGAAAGAGAAAGCTACTGACTGAGATATTTAGTAAAATAAAATGACTGGCCAAAGACATCAGGGAAAACACACATCTAAAGATGCCTTCTATGCAATTAGAAACTACACAGAAAATTAAATATATATCGGCACTGTACTATCCAAAAGCACTCCAATCTTTAAAAATGGCCAGGATTGAAGCAGATCAGACAATGCGTAAGTTCAAGTACTTTTACGAAAATAATCTTATAACAAGCAAAAAGGATAAACCCAGATTATTCTAGAGATAGATGAGAGACAAAGCTAAAACCAAAGATAAAGTAAATAGAGCATATAAGTCCAATGGAGAATAAACCATAGCTGAGGAGGAAACTATGTTCTGATGAACCAGTATTTTGTCCGTGTTTTTGTATTCAATGATGATCAATATGTTTCCGTGTTTCATCAACATTATTTCGAAGCACTTCCAGCCGGGCTTTATCCGAAATTCTTTTGTGCTACAAAAGATGTTATCAAAAAACCACTCTCACAAATTTTCCATATAAGTAAATGGGAGGAATCCTACCAGTAGACTGAACATGCCAACGTTACCCCAATCTGCCAAATAGGGACAAAGCCGACTCTGGTAACTACACCTATCAGCCTGACAGCGGTCTGGTGTACAATTGTGTAAAGAATCATATGGGAACATATTTTGAAGCACATGGAGCATAATGACGTACCTTCTGTCAACATACACTACTGAGGTTATAGATCTGGGAGAGTACAACCCTACTATAGATCTGGGAGAGTACAGCCCTACTATAGATCTGGGAGAGTACAACCCTACTATAGATCTGGGCGAGTACAGCCCTACTATAGATCTGGGCGAGTACAGCCCTACTATAGATCTGGGCGAGTACAGCCTACTTTAGATCTGGGAGAGTACAGCCTACTTTAGATCTGGGCGAGTACAGCCCTACTATAGATCTGGGAGAGTACAGCCCTACTATAGATCTGGGCGAGTACAGCCCTACTATAGATCTGGGCGAGTACAGCCCTACTATAGATCTGGGCGAGTACAGCCTACTTTAGATCTGGGATAGTACAGCCCTACTTTAGATCTGGGCGAGTACAGCCCTACTATAGATCTGGGCGAGTCCAGCCTACTTTAGATCTGGGATAGTACAGCCCTAATTTAGATCTGGGCGAGTACAGCACTACTATAGATCTGGGCGAGTACAGCCCTAATATAGATCTGGGAGAGTACAGCCCTACTATAGATCTGGGCGAGAACAGTCCTACTATAGATCTGGGAGAGTACAGCCCTACTTTAGATCTGGGCGAGTACAGTCCTACTATAGATCTGGGCGAGTACAGCCCTAATATAGATCTGGGAGAGTACAGCCCTACTATGGATCTGGGAGAGAACAGCCCTACTATAGACCTGGGAGAGTACAGCCTCCTATAGATCTGGGAGAGTACAGCCCTACTATAGATCTGGGCCAGTACAACCCTACTATAGATCTGGGCGAGGACAGACCTACTATAGATCTGGGCGAGGACAGCCTACTTTAGATCTGGGATAGTACAGCCTTACTTTAGATCTGGGCGAGTACAGCCCTACTATAGATCTGGGAGAGCACAGCCCTACTATAGACCTGGGAGAGTACAGCCCTACTATAGATCTGGGAAAGCACAGCCCTACTATAGACCTGGGAGAGTACAGCCCTACTATAGATCTGGGAGAGAACAGCCCTACTATAGACCTGGGAGAGTACAGCCCTCCTATAGATCTGGGAGAGTACAGCCCTACTATCGATCTGGGCGAGTACAGCCCTACTATAGATCTGGGCGAGCACAACCCTACTATACATCTGGGCGAGTACAGCCCTACTATAGATCTGGGCGAGTCCAGCCCTACTATAGATCTGGGCGAGTACAGCCCTAATATAGATCTGGGAGAGTACAGCCCTACTATGGATCTGGGAGAGAACAGCCCTACTATAGACCTGGGAGAGTACAGCCCTACTATAGATCTGGGAGAGTACAGCCTACTATAGATCTGGGAGAGTACAGCCTCCTATAGATCTGGGAGAGTACAGCCCTACTATAGATCTGGGAGAGTACAGCCCTACTACTTGTCTAGTCAGTAGGACATATGTATATGGATATCTGCTCAAACAACTCTACAAATCACTTGTACGTCCTCACCAGGAATACAATTGTTGTCACTAATGTTGACCACAGATTACCACATACAATTGACACTGACGGGCGTCAGAAAATGTGGAAGAGCTACCTGACCTGCAGTGTCGGTGCCCTTACTACCTCCCCGAGGAGGTGGTGTCATCTGGAAAACTTCAAAATCTGACACCAGTCACCAGAGAGCACCAGTCTCACAAGTACGCTTCCTCTATCTACTAGACATTTACCCTTCTCGCGGTATTTTCAGTAGAACGTTTTGGTTATGGCTTAAGTTTACCATATTCAACTTTTTGTATTCTTTACTTATATGATGACCTGTTTTAGAAAAGTTGGTGATGCAGCCTTTGCACCTATTATTGGGAGTCCCTACACCGGTATATTATAGTATACTTGTGTTTAACAGTCCGTACTCATTTTGAACTCCATATACCAGAAACTGTAAGGTTTGGAACTAAACATATACACAATATGCGACGAAACTACAGACTATGTGTGGTGTTTCAACGTTAACAAATGTATGTATCCACGTTAGTGATCGTTTTGCATGTCCACGTTCGTTATTGGCTGTATGTAGCAACGTCTTTGATTGGTTGTCTGCATCTGGGAGAGGTTGTATGATTCAAGGTGATTTATACATATTCACGTTTGCCATTAGTTGTATTTATCAACCTCTGTGATTGGCTGTATATATATCAACCTCTGTGATTGGCTGTATATATATCAACCTCTGTGATTGGCTGTATATATATCCACGTCTGTAGTTGGTTTATGCATTCACGCCTGTAATTAGTTGTAGTTTTTATATGCTTACATGTCAGTATAATAAATGTTTAACATACCTTCTCATTCCATATATTATTGATAAAAACGTATGAAAACACGCTCTTCAGGTCATTCTTGTGGTAAAGTTTAGGTTCTAAATCTGTTTGTCGTGTCTTCATTTTGACTCAATGAAACTGGAATTCTGCGAGGTATTTCATCATTATTTTACATTACAATAGGTAATTTTACACGAGTGCAAATAACACGGTAATCACGTGTGGATATTCGATTTAACATGAATTTTCCTCTGATATAACCTTTATGAGATTTGCTCACACTATTTTCCGTTTTATTATCTATGTCTAGTTTGAATGTACACTTTCCAGCTAATAGGCCTCCTTTACATCATCGTGGGAACTGTGCTGATTGTCAAGGATGGGGTATTACAACATGCAACGTTCCCCCTTCTCAATCAATTTGTGGTGCACGGCATGCCTCTCGGGAACCTTTCTTCAGGCCTGGTCTACGGGCTGTTCTTCATGCTTATTCTCCACACGAATTTTGGGTGTCTGGGACTGCTGGGGGTCGTCTGTCACAAGAAACTTCTCGTCATTATTGTAAGTATATCGACAACCGATTCACTGTTTACATACTGATTATATACTGATAATTCGTGTTGGTAACTGGTAATTACTGAATAATCATATTGTATATATGATAACTTGTAGTACATACTGATTTTATACTGAAAACTTATAGTGTATGCCGACAACTTGTAGTATATATTGATGATTAACGGTGTAAATTGATAAATTACTGAAGACTTATAGTGTATGCCGACTCCTTGTAGTATATACCGATGATTAACGGTGTAAACTGATAAATTACTAAAGACTTATAGTGTATGCCGACTACTTGTAGTATATACCGATGATTAACGGTGTAAACTGATAAATTACTAAAGACTTACAGTGTATGCCGACTACTTGTAGTATATACCGATGATTACCGGTGTAAACTGATAAATTACTAAAGACTTACAGTGTATGCCGACTCCTTGGAGTATATACCGATGATTGCCGGTGTAAACTGATAAATTACTAAAGACTTATAGTATATGCCGACTCCTTGTAGTATATACTGATGATTAACGGTGTAAATTGATAAATTACTGAAGACTTACAGTGTATGCCGACTACTTGTAGTATATACCGATGATTACCGGTGTAAACTGATAAATTACTAAAGACTTATAGTGTATGCCGACTGCTTGTAGTATATACTGATGATTAACGGTGTAAACTGATAAATTACTAAAGACTTACACTGTATGCCGACTACTTGTAGTATATATTGATGATTAACGGTGGAAACTGATAAATTACTAAAGACTTACAGTATATGCCGACTCCTTGTAGTATATACTGATGATTAACGGTGTAAACTGATAAATTACTAAAGACTTACAGTGTATGCCGACTACTTGTAGTATATTCCGATGATTACCGGTGTAAACTGATAAATTACTGAAGACTTACAGTGTAAGTCGACTACTTGTAGTATATACCGATGATTACCGGTGTAAACTGATAAATTACTGAAGACTTACAGTGTATGCCGACTACTTGTAGTATATACCGATGATTACCGGTGTAAACTGATAAATTACTAAAGACTTACAGTGTATGCCGACTCCTTGGAGTATATACCGATGATTACCGGTGTAAACTGATAAATTACTAAAGACTTATAGTGTATGCCGACTCCTTGTAGTATATACCGATGATTACCGGTGTAAACTGATAAATTACTAAAGACTTACAGTGTATGCCGACTACTTGTAGTATATACCGATGATTACCGGTGTAAACTGATAAATTACTAAAGACTTACAGTGTATGCCGACTACTTGTAGTATATACCGATGATTACCGGTGTAAACTGATAAATTACTAAAGACTTACAGTGTATGCCGACTACTTGTAGTATATACCGATGATTACCGGTGTAAACTGATAAATTACTAAAGACTTACAGTGTATGCCGACTACTTGTAGTATATACCGATGATTACCGGTGTAAACTGATAAATTACTAAAGACTTACAGTGTATGCCGACTACTTGTAGTATATACCGATGATTACCGGTGTAAACTGATAAATTACTAAAGACTTACAGTGTATGCCGACTACTTGTAGTATATACCGATGATTACCGGTGTAAACTGATAAATTACTAAAGACTTACAGTGTATGCCGACTACTTGTAGTATATACCGATGATTACCGGTGTAAACTGATAAATTACTAAAGTCTTACAGTGTATGCCGACTACTTGTAGTATATACCGATGATTACCGGTGTAAATTGATAAATTACTAAAGACTTACAGTGTATGCCGACTACTTGGAGTATATACCGATGATTACCGGTGTAAACTGATAAATTACTGAAGACTTATAGTGTATGCCGACAACTTGTAGTATATACAGATGATTAACGGTGTAAACTGATAAATTACTGAAGACTTATAGTTTATGCCGACTACTTGTCGTATATACCGATGAATAACGATGTAAACTGATAAATTACTGAAGAATTATAGTGTATGCCGACTACTTGTAGTATATACCGATGATTAACGGTGTAAACTGATAAATTACTGAAGAATTATAGTATGCACGCCAATATCTACTACTTGACCCGCCCGTAGATATAGAAGTATATCTTAATTTACGTTTACTGACAAAAATGAGTCCCAAGATCAGTTTCCTTTACGGCTATGTTGTCAATGTTGACGTCGTTTATTTTACGTGGCATCAGTAGAGGGATTCTACTTGGCATCAGTAGAGGGATTTTACGTGGCATCAATAGAGTAATTTTTAGTGGCATCAGTAGAGGGATTTTACGTGGCATCAGTAGAGGGATTTTACGTGGCATCAATAGAGGGAATTTACGTGGCATCAATAGAGGGAATTTACGTGGCATCAGTAGAGGGAATTTACGTGGCATCAGTAGAGGGATTTTAATAGATTGGTTTGTTTTGTCCCTTAAAAAATCTGTCTGACAAGCCGGAAAGAATATTTGTGGCCGCTTAAACCCCATACAATACCACCTAAGTTGTATGAAACATGTAAGACTGTTAACGTTGCATACCCTATGCACGAATTTCGAAAATCGTTTGAATGTTTCATTCCAAATCTTGAACATTGAAAGAACCACATTCAGCGTGTCCAGTAGATATTTGTCTCACAATTTGTACTCTTTTGCTATGATAATAATTTATTTGTTGTTTTTCAGTACAACGCTTTCCTAATGTTTGGCATTGTCACGGACGCAATCTTCATTCTGCTGTTTTCGTTGATAATAGACGGGGTAAGATTTCAGAACATGTTTTGTTTTAAATATATATATGAAATTGGTTGATTAGTCTAGTGGAATCTGTTTATCTTCTCGCTACGCTCACTGTGGCGTTAGTAACAGAGAGTAGCCGTGTCTCCACTCATTGACACGATTGGTGTGTTACTGCATGTAAACACCTCGTAGAAATTTAACAGAGAGTAGCCGTGTCTCCACTCATTGACACGATTGGTGTGTTACTGCATGTAAATACCTCGTAGAACTTTAACAGAGAGTAGCCGTGTCTCCACTCATTGACACGATTGGTGTGTTACTGCATGTAAATACCTCGTAGAACTTTAACAGAGAGTAGCCGTGTCTCCACTCATTGACACGATTGGTGTGTTACTGCATGTAAATACCTCGTAGAACTTTAACAGAGAGTAGCCGTGTCTCCACTCATTGACACGATTGGTGTGTTACTGCATGTAAATACCTCGTAGAACTTTAACAGAGAGTAGCCGTGTCTCCACTCATTGACACGATTGGTGTGTTACTGCATGTAAATACCTCGTAGAACTTTAACAGAGAGTAGCCGTGTCTCCACTCATTGACACGATTGGTGTGTTACTGCATGTAAATACCTCGTAGAACTTTAACAGAGAGTAGCCGTGTCTCCACTCATTGACACGATTGGTGTGTTACTGCATGTAAATACCTCGTAGAACTTTAACAGAGAGTAGCCGTGTCTCCACTCATTGACACGATTGGTGTGTTACTGCATGTAAATACCTCGTAGAACTTTAACAGAGAGTAGCCGTGTCTCCACTCATTGACACGATTGGTGTGTTACTGCATGTAAATACCTCGTAGAACTTTAACAGAGAGTAGCCGTGTCTCCACTCATTGACACGATTGGTGTGTTACTGCATGTAAATACCTCGTAGAACTTTAACAGAGAGTAGCCGTGTCTCCACTCATTGACACGATTGGTGTGTTACTGCATGTAAATACCTCGTAGAACTTTAACAGAGAGTAGCCGTGTCTCCACTCATTGACACGATTGGTGTGTTACTGCATGTAAATACCTCGTAGAACTTTAACAGAGAGTAGCCGTGTCTCCACTCATTGACACGATTGGTGTGTTACTGCATGTAAATACCTCGTAGAACTTTAACAGAGAGTAGCCGTGTCTCCACTCATTGACACGATTGGTGTGTTACTGCATGTAAATACCTCGTAGAACTTTAACAGAGAGTAGCCGTGTCTCCACTCATTGACACGATTGGTGTGTTACTGCATGTAAATACCTCGTAGAACTTTAACAGAGAGTAGCCGTGTCTCCACTCATTGACACGATTGGTGTGTTACTGCATGTAAATACCTCGTAGAACTTTAACAGAGAGTAGCCGTGTCTCCACTCATTGACACGATTGGTGTGTTACTGCATGTAAATACCTCGTAGAACTTTAACAGAGAGTAGCCGTGTCTCCACTCATTGACACGATTGGTGTGTTACTGCATGTAAATACCTCGTAGAACTTTAACAGAGAGTAGCCGTGTCTCCACTCATTGACACGATTGGTGTGTTACTGCATGTAAATACCTCGTAGAACTTTAACAGAGAGTAGCCGTGTCTCCACTCATTGACACGATTGGTGTGTTACTGCATGTAAATACCTCGTAGAACTTTAACAGAGAGTAGCCGTGTCTCCACTCATTGACACGATTGGTGTGTTACTGCATGTAAATACCTCGTAGAACTTTAACAGAGAGTAGCCGTGTCTCCACTCATTGACACGATTGGTGTGTTACTGCATGTAAATACCTCGTAGAACTTTAACAGAGAGTAGCCGTGTCTCCACTCATTGACACGATTGGTGTGTTACTGCATGTAAACACCTCGTAGAACTTTAACAGAGAGTAGCCGTGTCTCCACTCATTCACACGATTGGTGTGTTACTGCATGTAAATACCTCGTAGAACTTTAACAGAGAGTAGCCGTGTCTCCACTCATTCACACGATTGGTGTGTTACTAAACATTTATGTGCAAAATAAAAAATAAAATAAAAAACACTTTTATTACAACGAAAACAAGGCCAAGGTCTGATATATCGTACAAAATACACATCGGTTGAAATCACCAATGCGGCAATGGGCACAATTTTAACGCTCATGCAATTTATCAGAAATATCGTCTGTTACACTGCACTGATCAACAGGGGTTCGTTATAAATGTCTGAAATACACATATTCTATAGACCTACTGACACATATGTTACAGACCTACTGATATGAGTCACAGCACACATAAACATTTCAGACATTTGTAACGAACCTGTGCTCCGTCGCAAGATCACTCACTTCAAACGCTATCAGTTTCACGCGTCTCGCATCAACGGTTCCTCAGTTTCTGACGACATGTCAAAGAACGATGCTGTTATAGAATCTACCGACTGTTGTCAGGTTCCCATACAATCAACAAATACATTCACGCCTGGATTCTTCACAAAATGAGCAAAGAGAAAAGTTCGAATTAACTTCCAAAAAATAACTCCCTTGTGGAGGGCAACGTCGGATTTACGGTGTTCACTGTATTTGTCCATGTGCGAAATTTGATCCGGGGATTATGTTGTTTGCTTGCAAAGCTGTGTCATTCAAATAAATCATAAATACCATACACAAACAGTTCAATGCTTAATTAAAGCTGTCAAATCAAGATGGCTATGGTACCTTCACTAAGTACCATTAAAGCTGTCAAATCGAGATGGCTATGATTTGTTCATCAGGAACCGCAAAAAGCTGTCAAATCAAAATTGATGTTGCCATTGTATTACTGAATATGATACTATCGCTATTCTCGTTGGATATTGACACTGAAGAAAATAAAACAATCGGTGTTGCAACAAGCATAAAACAAGTTAAAATCTACTGCATTTCCCTCCCTTGTTTCAGATAAACTCGTGGATAAAGGATCGATTTCTTGCCTATTACGACGATTTTAGCGCTTCTCGATTGAACACAGAGGTTGAACAGGCATTCCGTGAGTTGTTTGATGCTGTAAGTAACTTTTATTTTATATATGTAACCCTATTGAAAGAACAGTTGACTAGTATTTTTACTTGATGTTGTGTGCCGTGAATTGTACTTGTATGTACACTTTCTCTAGTAGTGTTGTGTACATACATGTAGGTGTGACTTGTATGTACACTTTCTCGAGTTGTGTTGTGTACATACCTGTCGATGTGGATTGTATGTACACTTTCTCGAGTAGTGTTGTGTACATACATGTAGGTGTGACGTGTATGTACACTTTCCCGAGTAGTGTTGTGTACATAAATGTAGGTGTGACTTGTGTGTACACTTTCTCGAGTAGTGTTGTGTACATACCTGTAGATGTGGATTGTATGTACACTTTCTCGAGTAGTGTTGTGTACATACATGTAGGTGTGACTTGTATGTACACTTTCCCGAGTAGTGTTGTGTACATAAATGTAGGTGTGACTTGTGTGTACACTTTCTCGAGTAGTGTTGTGTACATACATGTAGATGTGGATTGTATGTACACTTTCTCGAGTAGTGTTGTGTACATACATGTAGGTGTGACTTGTGTGTACACTTTCTCGAGTAGTGTTGTGTACATACATGTAGGTGTGACTTGTGTGTACACTTTCCCGAGTAGTGTTGTGTACATACATGTAGATGTGAATTGTATGTACACCTTCTGGAGTAGTGTTGTGTCCATACCTGTAGGATTGACTTGTGTGTACACTTTCTCGAGTAGTCTTGTGTACATACATGTAGATGTGGATTGTATGTACACCTTCTGGAGTAGTGTTGTGTACATACATGTAGGTGTGACTTGTGTGTACACTTTCTCGAGTAGTGTTGTGTACATACATGTAGGTGTGACTTGTGTGTACACTTTCTCGAGTAGTGTTGTGTACATACATGTAGGTGTGACTTGTGTGTACACTTTCTCGAGTAGTGTTGTGTACATACATGTAGGTGTGACTTGTGTGTACACTTTCTCGAGTAGTGTTGTGTACATACATGTAGGTGTGACTTGTGTGTACACTTTCTCGAGTAGTGTTGTGTACATACATGTAGGTGTGACTTGTGTGTACACTTTCTCGAGTAGTGTTGTGTACATACATGTAGGTGTGACTTGTGTGTACACTTTCTCGAGTAGTGTTGTGTACATACATGTAGGTGTGACTTGTGTGTACACTTTCTCGAGTAGTGTTGTGTACATACATGTAGGTGTGACTTGTGTGTACACTTTCTCGAGTAGTGTTGTGTACATACATGTAGGTGTGACTTGTGTGTACACTTTCTCGAGTAGTGTTGTGTACATACATGTAGGTGTGACTTGTGTGTACACTTTCTCGAGTAGTGTTGTGTACATACATGTAGGTGTGACTTGTGTGTACACTTTCTCGAGTAGTGTTGTGTACATACATGTAGGTGTGACTTGTGTGTACACTTTCTCGAGTAGTGTTGTGTACATACATGTAGGTGTGACTTGTGTGTACACTTTCTCGAGTAGTGTTGTGTACATACATGTAGGTGTGACTTGTGTGTACACTTTCTCGAGTAGTGTTGTGTACATACATGTAGGTGTGACTTGTGTGTACACTTTCTCGAGTAGTGTTGTGTACATACATGTAGGTGTGACTTGTGTGTACACTTTCTCGAGTAGTGTTGTGTACATACATGTAGGTGTGACTTGTGTGTACACTTTCTCGAGTAGTGTTGTGTACATACATGTAGGTGTGACTTGTGTGTACACTTTCTCGAGTAGTGTTGTGTACATACATGTAGGTGTGACTTGTGTGTACACTTTCTCGAGTAGTGTTGTGTACATACATGTAGGTGTGACTTGTGTGTACACTTTCTCGAGTAGTGTTGTGTACATACATGTAGGTGTGACTTGTGTGTACACTTTCTCGAGTAGTGTTGTGTACATACATGTAGGTGTGACTTGTGTGTACACTTTCTCGAGTAGTGTTGTGTACATACATGTAGGTGTGACTTGTGTGTACACTTTCTCGAGTAGTGTTGTGTACATACATGTAGGTGTGACTTGTGTGTACACTTTCTCGAGTAGTGTTGTGTACATACATGTAGGTGTGACTTGTGTGTACACTTTCTCGAGTAGTGTTGTGTACATACATGTAGGTGTGACTTGTGTGTACACTTTCTCGAGTAGTGTTGTGTACATACATGTAGGTGTGACTTGTGTGTACACTTTCTCGAGTAGTGTTGTGTACATACATGTAGATGTGGATTGTATGTACACTTTCTCGAGTAGTGTTACGATGTATGACCTTCTAATATAAGGTACATGCACATTGATGTTTCTAGATGGACTGTAACGGGGCGGTAGGATCGGATGGCGGAGCGGGTTGCTGGGACAAATACTACCCTGTCATGAACGGTATCCTCCGTGTGTTCATAATGCTGCTATCATTCAGTATAGTATTACAGGTATGTATTTTCGAAGGCAAAACAAAGATCATTTGTAAGATTATACGGTACATTAAATTACACACTTGATCGCTTTATACTGTAAACTCCAAATATTTAAGGCGTTTTATACTTTTTGGACATGAACGATCCCTTAGTTTTGGGAAAAGTTTAGTTGATCTCCTTTGAATTCTTCCATTTTTCGGAGAGAAAAAAATCCTCTTGTGTGGAAAGTGTTAGCGAAGTCAAAATAACTGAGTCAATATTGTGATATCAATTCTATGTTTTCTATTATCTAACCGATTCGTTAGGTATTTTTCTACTCTCCCGGTTTTATTTCAATGTGCATATTTGCAAGGGTGAAGTTTTAACAACCATGTGTCGTACCAATGGTTCATCTGCTGGAGGCCATTTTGAATTATGTTTGTCAGTTTTCTAGTGATTACAAATATTTGTCCGTTTCCAGAGAACTCGTTAGGTCGTTAATATAAGTGGTATAGGATAAATAACAGAACCATGTAATCCTCAGACGTTAAATATTTCTAATTCAATCAATGCCTGTGACACCACGTTGTCTTGTATCCTTCAAAACACCCTGTCACTACCCAATAATATTGGTATTCAGTATGATTTTAATGTTTTGCAACCCTAAGATATGGTACTGTATCAAATACCGTTAGAATATCGATAGGATATCTTTTGTCCATTGGAGGACTATTATCCTGTTACACACGACTGATGTAAGGCTGACATGTCTGTCCGTGGCGAGCTACTCGTCTGTAACACACGACTGATGTAAGACTGACATGTCTTTACGTGGTGGTCTACTCGTCTGTAACACGAGACTGATGTAAGACACACAACTGATATAAGGCTGACATGTCTGTCCGTGGCGGACTTTTCGTCTGTAACACACGACTGATGTAAGACTGACATGTTTGTCCGTGGCGGACTACTCGTCTGTATCACACGACTAATGAAAGGCTGACATGTCTGTCCGTGGCGAGCTACTCGTCTGTAACACACGACTAATGTAAGGCTGACATGTCTGTCCGTGGCGGATTACTCGTCTGTAACACACGACTGATGTAACACTGTCATGTCTCTCCATGGCAGACTTCTCGTCTATAACACACGACTGATGTAAGGCTGACATGTCTGTCCGTGGCGAGCTACTCGTCAGTAACACGACTGATGAAAGGCTGACATGTCTGTCCGTGGCGGACTTTTCGTCTGTAACACACGACTGATGTAAGGCTGACATGTCTGTCCGTGGCGGACTTCTCGTCTGTAACACACGACTTATGTAAGACTGACATGTCTGTCCGTGGTGGTCTACTCGTCTGTAACACCCGACTAATGAAAGGCTGACATGTCTGTCCGTGGCGGACTTCCTGTCCGTGGCGGACTTTTCGTCTGTAACACACGACTTATGTAAGACTGACCTGTCTGTCCGTGGTGGTCTACTCGTCTGTAACTCACGACTGATGTAAGACTGACATGTCTGTCCGTGGTGGTCTTCTCGTCTGTAACACACGACTGATGTAAGACTGACATGTCTGTCCGTGGCGGACTTCTCGTCTGTAACACGCGACTTATGTAAGACTGACATGTCTGTCCGTGGTGGCCTACTCGTCTGTAACACCCGACTGATGTAAGGCTGACATGTCTGTCCGTGGAGGTCTACTCGTCTGTAACACACGACTGATGTAAGGCTGACATGTCTGTCCTTGGCGGACTACTCGTCTGTAACACACGACTGATGTAAGACTGACATGTCTGTCCGTGGCGGACTTCTCGTCTGTAACACCCGACTTATGTAAGACTGACATGTCTGTCCGTGGCGGTCTACTCGTCTGTAACACACGACTAATGTAAGGCTGACATGTCTGTCCGTGGCGGACTTCCTGTCCGTGGCGGACTTTTCGTCTGTAACACACGACTTATGTAAGGCTGACATGTCTGTCCGTGGTGGTCTACTCTTCTGTAACACACGACTGATGTAAGGCTGACATGTGTATCCGTGGTGGTCTACTCGTCTGTAACACACGAAGGATGTAAGACTTACATGTCTGTCCGTGGCGGACTTCTCGTCTGTAATACACGACTTATGTAAGACTGACATGTCTGTCTGTGGTGGTCTACTCGTCTGTAACACCCGACTAATGAAAGGCTGACATGTCTGTCCGTGGCGGACTTCCTGTCCGTGGCGGACTTTTCGTCTGTAACACACGAATGATGTAAGGCTGACATGTCTGTCCGTGGCGGACTACTCGTCTGTAACACACGACTGATGTAAGGCTGACATGTGTGTCCGTGGTGGTCTACTCGTCTGTAACACACGAATGATGTAAGACTTACATGTCTGTCCGTGGCGGACTTCTCGTCTGTAACACACGACTGATGTAAGGCTGACATGTCTGTCCGTGGCGAGCTGCTCGTCTGTAACACCCGACTGATGTAAGGCTGACATGTCTGTCCGTGGCGAGCTGCTCGTCTGTAACACACGACTGATGTAAGACTGACATGTCTGTCCGTGGTGGTCTACTCGTCTGTAACACACCACTGATGTAAGGCTGACATGTCTGTCCGTGGCGGAGTACTCGTCTGTAACACACGACTGATGTAAGGCTGCCATGTCTGTCCGTGGCGGACTACTCGTCTGTAACACACGACTGATGTTAGACTGATATGTCTATCCGTGGTGGTCTACTCGTCTGTAACACACGACTGATGTAAGGCTGACATGTCTGTCCGTGGCGAGCTGCTCGTCTGTAACACCCGACTAATGTAAGGCTGACATGTCTGTCCGTGGCGAGCTGCTCGTCCTGACATGTCTGTCCGTGGCGGACTTTTCGCCTGTAACACACGACTGATGTAAGGCTGACATGTCTGTCTGTGGCGAGCTACTTGTCAGTAACTGATGTAAGACTGACATGTCTTTCCGTGGTGGTCTACTCGTCTGTAACACCCGAATAATGTAAGGCTGACATGTCTGTCCGAGGCGGACTTCTCGTCTGTAACACACGACTGATGTAAGGCTGACATGTCTGTCTGTGGCGAGCTACTTGTCAGTAACACGACTGATGAAAGGCTGACATGTCTGTCCGTGGCGGACTTTTCGTCTGTAACACACGACTGATGTAAGGCTGACATGGTTGTCCGTGGCGGACTACTCGTCTGTAACACACGACTGATGTAAGACTGACATGTCTGTCCGTGGCGGACTTCTCGTCTGTAACACACGACTGATGTAAGACTGCATGTCTGTCATGCAGAATATTTGTTCCTTTTCTTATATTTCGTCATAGAAAATTAAAATAATCGTCATTCCATTTCTAAGAAGCGGGTCTGTATTCCATCTGGTCCCAAAGATATGATCAATTTTATTTATCCTGGTTATTAAGCTACCAGGATTGTACCTTACAGTTTCCCACCACGAATTGTGATATTTTGATTGTGCCATAATGGGTTTTCAAATATTTGTTTTCCCTATTGCTTGCTAGCTATAGCAATAACTAACCAGGTTTTTGAAACGTCTTCCCAAATCATTTAGAATAGTGTCCAAATTAAATTTGATGTGTTCTAAATCATAATTTGCAATAAGTCAGCATTATTATATAGTTTTCAATATAAACCCAATTGCTGTGTTCTCTGTATAGCCTCCTAGTGTTACCCATGTCCGTCCCGTCCCGTCCCGTCCCGTCCCGACCCGTCGTGTCCCGTCCCAATTCAATGTAAACACTTAGCAACTTCATTCTTTGACAGATTTTGGTCAAACTTTATACAAAGGTCAAGTATGATTATACTTGGGACATCATTGTATTTCAGGGATCCAAGGTCAAGGCAAATGTAACACTTATATGGAAAACCGTCTCCTCCCGTCCCGTCGCGTCGCGTCCAGTCCCGTCCCGATTCAATGTAAACAACTTCATTATTTGACAGATTTTAGTCAAACTTTATACAAAGGTCAAGTTTCTGTTAATCTGTGTATACATCCTCCTGGCAATCTATGTATACATCTTCCTGTTAATCTATGTATACATCTTCCTTTTAATCTGTGTATACATTCTCCTGTTAATCTGTGTATACATCTTCCTGTTAATCTGTGTATACATTCTCCTGTTAATCTATGTATACATCTTCCTGTTAATCTGAGTATACATTCTCCTGTTAATCTGTGTATACATTCGCCTGTTAATCTGTGTATACATCTTCCTGTTAATCTATGTATACATCTTCCTTTTAATCTGTGTATACATTCTCCTGTTAATCTATGTATACATCTTCCTGTTAATCTGAGTATACATTCTCCTGTTAATCTGTGTATACATTCGCCTGTTAATCTGTGTATACATCTTCCTGTTAATCTATGTATACATCTTCCTTTTAATCTGTGTATACATTCTCCTGTTAATCTATGTATACATCTTCCTGTTAATCTGAGTATACATTCTCCTGTTAATCTGTGTATACATTCTACTGTTAATCTGTGTATACATCTTTCTGTTAATCTGTGTATACATTCTCCTGTTAATCTATGTATACTTTCTCCTGTTAATCTGTGTATACATTCTCCTGTTAATTTGTGTATACATTCTCCTGTTAATCTGTGTATACATTCTCCCGGTAATCTGTGTATACATTCTCCTGTTAATTTGTGTATACATTCTCCTGTTAATCTGTGTATACATTCGCCTGTTAATCTGTGTATACATCTTCCTGTTAATCTATGTATACATCTTCCTTTTAATCTGTGTATACATTCTCCTGTTAATCTATGTATACATCTTCCTGTTAATCTGTGTATACATTCTCCTGTTAATCTGTTTATACATTCTCCTGTTAATCTGTGTATACATTCGCCTGTTAATCTGTGTATACATCTTCCTGTTAATCTATGTATACATCTTCCTTTTAATCTGTGTATACATTCTCCTGTTAATCTGTGTATACAGCTTCCTGTTAATCTGTGTATACATCTTCCTGTTAATCTGTGTATACATCCTCCTGTTAATCTA